TGGGGGCAGGGGAGAACAATGGGGGATAAAACGGAGACAACTATAATTGAGCAACAATAAAAAATTTTTCTTGATAAAGTAAAAAATAAAAATATAAGCTGAGCTTCCAAGGCTTCCTGTGGGTTTTCTAGCACTGAGCAGGGCTTAGGAAATCATAGACAAGAAAGATGGAAGATAGAGCAGGTGATAGTTTGGTTTCAGGCCAGCCCTCCACCTATCTGTTTTGTAAACTGATATGTTTGTACACTGGGCTGCCGAACAGGGGCTGGGCTATTTACACCATTCTTCGAGGGCTAGGTGGTCAGTGACTCTGGCCCTTTTGCCATTTTCTTCTTTTTTAAAAGATTTTATATTTATTTATTTATTTATTTTTTATTTATTTATTTATTTTTGGAGAGAGGGACAGGAAGGGGAAAAGAGAAGGAGAGAAACATCTACGTGTAAGAGAAACACTGATCGGTTGCCACACACATAACCCCAAATGGGGTCTTGGCCCGCAAACCGGACATGTGCCCTGACCATAAATCAAACCAGTGAACCTTCAGTTTGCAGGCTGATGCCAAGCCCACTGAGTAACACCAGCCAGGGCTCCTTTTTCTTCATTAGTGTTGCATCCCACTGCCCCATCTCACTCCATTCCTCCTCAGTCTATAGATCTCCATCCTCCACCTTGATCCTCCACTCTGTTCTCAGAGCTTCCTTCCTGACTTGTCTGACCTGTGAGTTAATAAATGTGCCCCAGATCTGTCCCACTTCCTATAGTGTGGATGGCCTCAGAGAAAGCAACTTGAAACACACCTGGTGCTTCTCCAGAGAGGTGACACCTGCCACCTGCACTGCTGAAATCACCAGGGGGCTTGTTGGAACAGACTCCCTTTCCTATCCTTCTGCCCACATTATTTTCTCTGTGTACAAGGTCCCTCATCCTGGGGTGCCCCTTCACCAACTGGGGTAACAGATCACTGCCACCTGTGGGCAATAACTTGTGTGCTTGCTCTGCACTTTTCCACAAGCCATCCACTGCACACCTCCATTCACTCCATCCCCTCCAGAACAATGACACATGAAAACTGGAAGAGACCTGGGAGATCTATGGATAGATGGAAACACACAGGTGGACAGGGAAGGCATTTTCCCAAGGTTGTCAACCCAGCTGGGAGCATAAGCAAGGCCAGAACCAGAACTCCAGAAGGCCAGTCCAGGTTTCCTTGCAGAAGCAGAGACACCTGGTGGGAAAAGTAAGGTGATTTAGATGAGAAGACAGTGTCTCTACCACCTCAGCAACCACCACTTCCCCCCAGCTTTCTTCCACATCCTGACACCCTATTCCAGTGGCAATACTGCTGTCACCAAAGTCACCAATGTCCCCTTGTTGCCAAGCTCAATGGTTCTGTTTTCATACTTACCTTTTTTTGACCTTTCAGGATTTGACTCAACACTGTAGAAACACTGTCTCCTGGTTCTGCCACAGCCTCTCTCCAACCTGGTATTTTACAACTATGAAATTATTGCCATTCTGGCAGATGGAATACCAGCTGTCTCAGTGATTTGGTTTTTGATCTCTGATACCAATGGATCGAGCACCTATTCATGTATCTTTGGCTATTTAATTTTCCCTTTTTTCTAAAGTCAGTTAATTTCTTTTGCCTATTTTTCTATTGGGCTGCTTATCTTTTCTTTTTTGATTCTTTGGGATTAATAGTCTATTCTGTGTGTTTCCCCCCTTGTTTTTCAACTTGTGTGTTGCAAATATCTTTCTACAATATATTGTTTTCTTCTTTTACTTTCTTTATGGTATCTTTAGATGAGCACAATATCTTAATTTTAATGTGGTCTAATATGTTTAAAATCTCATGGTTTATGCTTTTTGTATTGTGCTTAAGAAACGTTATCCTGAGCCCTGGCTGGTGTAGCTCAGTGGATTGAGTGCCAGCCTGAGAACCAAAGGGTCACCGCTTCTATACCCAGTAAGGGCACATGCCTGGGTTGGGGACCAGGTCCCCAGTTAGGGGCCCGTGAGAGGCAACCACACATTGATGTTTCTGTCCCTGTCTTCCTCCCTCCCTTCTCTTCTATCTAAATTTAAATAAATAAAATCTTTTTTAAAAAATTAAAACATTAAATAAATAAATATTTCCCTAAGAATCACTACAGCAAGGAGAGTAATGCATAGCAAAGCAATTCAGCAAAGTGCTGCTCTCTAGGGTCAGTAGAAAGATGGGGGCTGGATTACAAAAGAGGCTACCAATGCCCAAGAGAACTGCTTGGAATCAGGTGGCTCTTACAGGGGCTTTACAGGTAGAAGCCTCCACATACCCACATAGATTGAAGATTTGATCTACAGAGAGAGGACCATATCCTGACACTGGCTTATACACACTGGAAGTAACACTCCTAGTGAGTAAGAAGGACAGTCACGTCTTCACTGACAGCCATGTTTCAGCTATTGCCTTGGTACCTGAAGCACAAATAGACGAGAGAGATAGAAGGGGGGGCCCATCCCCCATCAACCATTCCACTAAGCCATTGGAGCCAAAAGACTAAGTTAAGGCAGAAGGTAAACTTTGACTCATGTATGATATTGAAGGCTTAAAATGATCACTCTGAACCTTAAGAGCCTACATGAGAACTTTTAATAACAAAACTGAAACATTATAATGGAAAAACCATCCACCCACCTTCAGCCACCACAAGAACTAAAACACCAGAGTTCTACTGCATGAACCTGAGTGCCCTTCCCCAGACCTCTGGTCCCGCCTTCCCACAGTACTTACCATTCTCAGCTCTCTTGTGTGCCTAGCACAACAGGTACACCTAATATACAGGAATGCATTGGCAAAATTTCTAATGCTCTGTGTGAGCTCACTCAAAATTGTGCGCCTGAAATATTGGAATGCACTGGCAAGCTTAACTAATGCCCTGTGATGGCTAACACTCATTTTCCAGCATGAGAATTCCTGTGGGGGGAACACCAAAGGAGTCCCCAACAGTCCCACCAGGCCTGCTCTTCATTTCATGTGCAAGAACTTCCAGAGTTCTCTTTGTTGTGCACCAGTTCACATTCTGCTCATGTTCTGACTCATTCATTCCTTTTTTAACACCATTCACACTTCACTGCTCCCACTGATCCCCACGCCCTGCACAGTTGAAAATGTTGATGAGTCTGTGGAGCTTTACAAACTTTCTCTACCATTTTCCCTTAAGACACGTACCTTGATTACTGTAAACAGAAAACGATAGCACAAACCTAGGATGACAATCTTCTTAGATGTCCTCCTGCTGCCTGTGATGGTATTCAATCTTGCACATGGGTATGTTTCCATTCATCCTGAAAAGCCAGGTTGCAAAATGACCTCCCGAAGTCAGGTTTGTGTACACGATGGGCTGGTAAGAGAAAGTATTGAAACATTGGTGCTTGGAGATAGAAAAAGCTTTATTCATTTTGGCCAAGGTGAGAGGACAGGAGAGGGAAATCTCCCAAATCCACCTGTCTCAAAAAACAAATGTAGGAAGTTTTTATGCAGGTAGGGAATAGAAGAAGGGAAAGTTTCAGAGAACTGAGAAAAGCAGCTGTGTTTCTTCAAGGATAGATAACGCTTTTTTATCAGACCTGGTGGCCCTGGATGCATCTTTTCCTGCTTGACAATGAACCGGTATGTCAGCAGCACCAAATTCTATTGTGAGAACTAGGGGTGCAGGGTTGAAGAACAAAAATTCTGAAAAATATCTCATAGTTGTGCATCAGTGACTTCATGATTAAAGTAAAATGCAGAATGTAGACATTGTGACCATCACCATTGATTAACCTGTCATTGTTTTGTGTTTAACTAGCTGTGTTTCTCCTTTATCTCAACAAAGTGTGCTTTTAAACATTTCTCCTGGAACTCGCTTAATAGTCAGGCCTTCAGACGTGGCCAACATACTTCACAGTCAGGGACTGTAAGTTACTCAACAACCATAGCAATTGAAACATTTAGTTAAAGCCTATACTTTTATCCTAATTCAGATTTAAATTATTTCACTGTAGCTGCCAATATACTGGGATCATTAAAACCACAATGAGCCCTGGCTGGCGTAGCTCAGTGGATTGAGCTCTGGCCTACAAACCAAAGGGTCACCAGTTTGATTCCCAGTCTAGGGCATGTGCCTGGGTTGCAGGCCAGGTGCTCAGTAGTGGGCATATGAGAGTTAACCACACACTATTGTTTCTCTCCCTCTCCTTCTCTTTCACTTCTCCTCACTCTAAAATAAATAAAAGCTTTAAAGACAATAATAAAAAACCCCACAACAGTCCCCACTACAGACACACCCTAGCAATTCTTAGAAAAAGAAAGTACCAACCACAGGGTGATTTCTGGGAAATTTATGAACATGTTATTGTTTGTCACAGGGAGTGGGGGAGGGGACAAGTCACTAAAAGCATTTAGAGAATAGAGCCAAGGATGCTAGACGTTCTGAAAATTCAGGACAATCCTAAATAAAGATAAATTGATCATTGTCTGACATCACTTTGGAATGTCCCATCAGACATTCACGAAGAAGATAAACCTATTTATCATTAGCTGGGCCTAGAACTTCACGAATAATCCTCATGTTTTGATCATATATAAAAGTTTCTAGCAGGGTGGCTGCCATTACTTGGCTTTACTTGAGACTTCAAGTCCCAGGAGGGATTCACTGTGTAAGATAATAGGAAGGAAAGGCAATGCCACTCGTGCTCAAGTCCCCACTACAACACAGCCCTACCAGTCTAATTTGCTGCTGCCTCATGCAAACAGCTCACAGAAGAGAAATATGACTCTTTTGACATAAAATCAATTATGAAATTGGAATAAAGATGTGAGGTCCAATGAGTTCTTATAATTTTATTTAATTTTAAAAACCAAAGTGATGGTTTTTTTAATACTTCATATTATTGCCATCTTGTGTGTCAACTTAAGAGGGTGCCCAGAGAGCTGGTTAAACATAATTGCTGGGTGTGTCCCTGAGGATGTTTCCTGGAGAGATTACCATTTGAATGGGTGAACTGGGTAGAGCAGAGGGCCTTTCCTAATGTGGGTGAAACTCACCCAGTCCACTGAGGGCTTGAGCAAAAGAGAAAGGCAGAGGAAGGTTGAAAGGCTCTCTGCCTCACTGCTTGAGCTGGAACATTTTACTTCTGCCTTTGGCACTCCTGGTGCTCAAGCCTTTGGACTCAGGATGGCTTCAACACCACCAGTTCTCTGGCTTTAAGGTCTTCAAATCATACCACCAGCTTTCCTGTGTCCTGAGTCTCCAGCTTGCAGACAGCTGACCATGGAACTCCTTAACCTCTGCACTCAGGTGAGCCAACACCTTATAGTAACTCTCTCTTTCTCTCTCTCTCTCTCTCTCTCTCTCTCTCTCTCTCTCTCTCTCTCTCTCTCTCTCCCTTCTCCCTCCCTCTCCCCCTTTCTCCCTCCCTCTCCCCCACCCTGTCCTTCATGAATGGTGCATGCTGAGGTTATAAATTGGGTTTTTACTGTTGTTTTCAGTCTTATCTGATTCTATCTCCAGGAAAGCCTCTTTTATAACCATTTTCTCCTAATCCATTCTGATACCCCATGGCTTTTTGAAGGCAATGGTAGCCAAGATTAAGTTTAGATCATCACAGGAACATGTATGTCCCAACCTATGGTAGGATCTCTCAGGGCACATACATTCTCTGGGATATTTTCTACTTCCTCATCCCACAACACAACACAGGGGACTGACATTGTATTTGCCTTGGTTAATCATGAAAACACTCATTTCTCTACTCCAACTTTCTGTAATTGGCTTGGTCTGCCTACATTAATATTAGAGATTAATATTTTATTTTCATTCTCCTATCTTAGGCTAATTAGCCTATTTCTTTATAACTTTATTCTGTTCTTTATTACTTACAGTAGTAAGTTTTACTCATCCCTCTACTCCTTTTGTTTCCTTTTTGTTGAATTTATTGGGGTGACACTGGGTAACCAAATTACACAGGTTTCAGGTTCACAATTCTATAACCCATCATCTGTGTGCTGTAGTTTATATTCCCCATCCAAGTCAGTCTCTGTCCATCACCATTTATCCCCCCTTTACCCTCCTCCACTTCTCCCCACCTCCTCTTCCCCAAGGGATCACCACATTGTGATCCACGTCCATGAGGTTTTCTTTTTGTTCAATCACTTTACTCTGCCCCTACCCCACAGCGGTCAGTCTGTTTTCCATCTATGAGTCTGTCTCTACTTGGTTAGTTCCTTTTGTTCACTAGATTTCACATATTAGTAAAATCATATTGTACTTGTCTTCCTCTGACTGGCTTATTTCACTTAGCATAATGTTCTCCAGGTCCATACACGCTGTTGCAAATAGTGAGATTTTCTCCTTTATTTTTTAAAACCAAGTAGTATTACTGTACCACTGCTTTTGTACCCTCTCATCTACTGATGGACATTTGGGCTGCTTCCCAATATTGGCTATTGTAAATAGTGCTGCACTGAACATGGGGTACATATATTCTTTTGAATTTGTGGCCTGGGTTTCTTTGGATAAATTCCCACAAGTCAAATCACTGGGTCTTCCATTTTTTAAAAAGCAACTTTATTTTTTAACTTTTAGAGGTAACTCCATACTGCTTCCCACAGTAGCTGACCAATCTGCATTTCTACCAACAGTGCATGAGGATTCTTTTCTCCACATCTTCACCGGAACTTAATTTATTGATGACAGCCATTCTGACAGATGTGAGGCGATATTGTGATTTTAGTTTGCATCTCTCTGATTACTGATGTTGAATATCTTTTTATATGTGTCTTGTCCAGCCATATGTCCTCTTTGGAGAAGTGTCTACTCAAGTCCTTAGACCATTTTTTAAATTGAACTGTTTTTAATTTGTTTTGTTATGGCTTTGGTGTTGACTTGTATACATTTTAGATATTAACCCCTTATCAGATGTGATGGTGAATATGTTCTTCTACTCACTGGGTTGTCTTTTCATTTTATTGATAGTTTCCCTTGCTGTGCAAAAACTTTTTAGTTTGATGTGGTTCCATTTGTTTATTTTTCTTTTGTTTCTCTTGCCAAAGGAGCTATATCAGAATAAATATTGCTACAAGAAATGTTTGAGATTTTACTGCCATTGTTTCCTTTTAGGAATTTTATGGTTTTGAGTTAAGCATTTAAGTTTTTAATCCATTTTGAGTTAATTCTTGTGTATAGTGTAAAGAGGTGGTCTAGTTTTTTTATTTTTGCATGTATCTGTCTTATTTTCCCAAACACCATTTCTTCAATATACCATCTTTAGCCCATTGTATGTTTTTGCCTCCTTTGTCAAATATTAATTGGTTATATTGGCATGGGTTTATTTCCGGGCTCTCTATCTATGTCTGTTTTTATGCCAGTACCATGATGTTTTAATTACTATGACCTTGTAGTACAGTCTGACATAAGGTGCATAATCCTCCAACTTTGTTCTTTTTTCTTAAGATCACTGTATCTCTTACGGTCTTTTGTGGTTTTATATAAATTTTTGGCGTATTTGTTCTTGTTCTATGAAATATGCCATAGGTATTTTAATAAAAATTGTGTTGAATCTATAGATTGCTATAGTAGAAACATTTTAATGATGTTAATTCTTCCAACCCAAAACCATGCTATATGCTGCCACTTTTTTGTATCTTATTTAATTTCTTTCTTCAGTGTCTTATAATGTTCCAAGCACAAGTCTTTTACATCCTTGTTTGGTTTATTCTTAGGTGTTCTTTTTGAAGTAACTGTGAATCAAACAGTTTTCTAAGTTTTTCTTTCTCATAGTTCATTATTGGGGCATAAAGTTGCAACTGGTTTCTGGATACCTATTTTGTATCCTGCTCTTTTGCTGAACTCAATGATCAGTTCCAGTTTTTTTTTTTTTGGTGGAATCTTTAGGATCCTCTATATGCAGTGTTATGTTATCTGCAAATAAATAATGACAGTTTTACTTTTTCCTTTCTAATATGGGTGCATTTTGTGTCTTTTTCTTGTCTGACTGCTGTTCTAGGGCTTCCAGTGCTATGTTGAATAAGATGGTAAAAGCGGACATTATGTCTTGTTCCCAATCTTAAGGGAAACAGGTTTGGTGTTAGCCCATTGAGTATAATGTTGGATGTGGGTTTGTCGTATATTGTCTTCATTACATTGAGGTATGTTCCCTCTAGTCCCACTTTGCTGACAATTTTTATCATATATGAATACTGAGTTTTATCAAATGCTTTTCTGCATCTATTGATATAATCGTGTAGTTTTTATCTTTCATTTTATTCATGTGGTGTATCACGTTCATTGATTTGCAAATATTATACTCACCTTACGTCACCATAATAAATGTCACTTGGTCATGGTGTGTGATCTTTTTAATATTTTGGTGGTTCTGGTTTGCTAATATTTATTGAGGATTTTAGTTCTATGTTCATTGCAAAGACTGGCCTATAATTTTCTTTCTTTGCAGTGTCTTTATCTGGTTTTAGAATTACAATAACACTGGCCTTGTATATGAACTTGGGTGTATTCCCTTTTCTTGAATATTTTTTGGAATAGTTTCAGAAGATTAGGTTTTAGTATTTCTTTGAATGTTTCATACAATTTACCTGTAAAGCCATCCCATCCAAGACTTTTGTTTGTTGGGAGTTTTTTTTTAATATCCCAGAAATTTATTTAATGTTTGCTTAATACATTTATAAAGAAAGATTGGGACTATTTGCTTTGGGTGCCCCTGATAAATTACATGGAGGCACTGAACTACAAAGGCATGTCAATCTGGAGACATGAGAAATGGAAAACCCAATTTTATCCCTTCTTAGCTTAAAAATGCTCAATGTCTTGGAGCTACTGTGTGAAAACAGCTGATATTTTAGGAGGGCATTACACGTTTTGGTCTGTTAGAACACTTAAATACTTGGAAATTAAAAATATTCAACTTTGAAGTTTTCAATACTGGAAAACTTTTAAGTCTAGGGTTTATAGCCAGGAAGGGCTGTTTTGTGTTCCTTAAACTGGACTGTTTCCTACAACGTTAATCTTCAGCTTTGGCTTCCATTTCTTCTGCGTCATCATCTCCATCCACTTCTGCATTTTCTCTCTCAAGCCTTTCCAGCTGCCTCACAAGTTCAGTTTCATCTGTATCTGTGACCACTTTGGGCTCCATTTGAACATTGAAGACACCCCTCTTTTCTTCAATCTTTTCTTTAATAACAGCCATGGCTTGATTGAGGACGGAGAGGCCTTCTTTCCTCTCCAGGGTTGTTGTAGTCATCACATACCGAGGAAGAGCTATGAGATTAATCTTGATGGGCATGGTCTCTGCAGAACAGTTCAAACCTGCTCGCAGGGCTTCTTTCACGGCGTCAATGCCTTCATAACCGTGGCATGCCACTTCAATATCTGCTCGAATTTTGACAGCCTGTGGGGTCAAACGCCTATTAATATTGTTAATGAGCACTTCCCGTTCATCTTCGCTCAAATCTAAACTATCCAAAATAGATGGGTCTGAGACTGCATGCTGAAATGCATCATAGGCACCGTATTCAGGTCTCTTGTACTTGTCATCGAAGACCCAAGCAGTCCTCTGGAACAGGGTCCAGCTGCTCATCCTTGGTGTACTCTAACACCTCAGCAACATGACGGAGAATGCTATAAACAGTTTTGGATTTGGTGAATTTATCTTCACATTTGATTGCTTCCTCTGGAGAAACTCTTCTTTTTGACAAATCACTGTATCCTTTTCCTTTGTCCACTCTAATGACAACCACACATTCATTCCTGCCAATTCGGATGAGTTTGTTTATAGAACGAATACGCCTTCTGGACAACTCACTAAGAAGAATCATGCCTTCAATATTGTTGTATTCCAGCAGGCTGACGTAAGCCCCCATTTCAGCAATGGATCTTACATTCACCATCACTACATTTTCCACCTCGGGAAATTTGTGTTGATAAAATCTACAACTTACACCTGGCATTCTGAGGTATCTGTGTGAATCACGTAGTGGGGTCCCGGACCACGCTCTTTAATCGAAGAGAGAGTAGTGACCCACTCGCAGCAGCCGTCAATTCTCCGGGAGTTTTTTTATTACTGCTTCAATTTCACTAGTTTTAATCTGTGTATTCAGGTATTCTGATTCTTTCTGATTCAGTTTTTGAAGATTGTATGTTTCTAGAAATTTATCTATTATACATAGGTTGTTGAATTTGTTAGTATACAGTTGTTCATCATATTTTTTTACAATCTTGTGGGGGGGTTGATGTCAGTTGTTACTTCTCTTTCATTTCTGATTTTATTTATTTGGGTTCTCTTT